TTCACGAGGAAGCATACCTTACGGTCCCTGGTGTCCAATATAAAAAGCACAAAGTATTTCGTTCGGTGGGTCCCCGACACACGAAAAAACCTCTGACCACACACCGACAGACATTGTTGTCACAGAGACGTCCGATTATCCAAATATGTACCTAACGATTGGGTAAAGAGCTATATGTCGTCCATAAGGACATCACATCACTGCAAAAGTTTTCTGAAAAGAACATGGGCCTTATTGACGACATCGCGCTTATAACACTGACATCGAGCAGAGCGAATGCTGGCTGATTCCGACAGCTGGGTGGGGAAGTTCGTTTTGCGGCTGAACCTAACGAAACCGATGTTTACGAGAACTGGTCCCTGGTAGGGTTGACACTCAATGGAACAAACATCTCTGAATGATCCAGCTATGGGTTAGGTCAGGTTATGGTAAATTTTGCTCCAAAGCCAAGCGGTAGGAAGGGCGCGGCATCGGTAGCGCACAAAAACATCGAGAAAGTCGTGAAAAAGGAGAACATCGTGTTCCTCCTCACCCCTTCGTTTCGCTAGCCTTCCTGGCTCAACCTACACATCGGAGATCTGGACCCTGTGCAGACAAAACGAGTATGAGGTAAGTGTTATTCAACGCGCTATGCTGCTTGGAGTTTTTGTGTACACGCAAGTGCAAGGGAGAATCTGGAATTCCGAACTCCGCCAATGGTCAAGGGGACCGGACGTTTCATGAAATTTTGTTGTGACTGTTGGGCAGAAGGGGTTAGGTGGGGGCTTTCTCAGTACATCGATAAAAAAAGACGACCGCTGGCCTGACAACCAGACTTCTTCACGAATGTTCTGGACGAAAAAGTAAAATAATTCGGGTCCCTGGAGCTGAGAGAATTCAGTATGAGACCACCGTTCAGGCGGTGGACCATGCGCTATGCAACTGGGTTCTAAAAAGATTGTATCGAAGTGAACAGGAGGACAGACGAAAAACGAAGTGGTAGATCCGCTGAACTTGTTTCCGATCAATGAAATTCAAAAATAAGGGAAGGTGCTAACACAAGATACGGGGGCAATGTGGTGCAAAGAAATTCAAATGCGTGAAACATTGTCTTCCTGTAAAAAACGAACTAAGTCCAAGGTGGAGGAGGAAAGACTCAGACTGCGGCATGTGAGAATTTCTATTGTTTCCCTAATGGCCTGCTTCCTGTTGATTACTAGACGATGCCCACAGTATCTTGCCGATAGCGCCTAAGGAATAATTGCTCTTTAGCTGCGCACTGACACCAGTCCCTGGAATCCTTCCAGCGAAATCATAAATTCTCCTTCACAATGTACACTGACCCACTTCCCTATAGAAATTTCGCCGCTTCCTTCAATAGTAATTAGGACTCTTTCATGGTAATTATCCTAATTATAGCCTTTCCAACCCTCGCACAATCGACGTTTTTTCATCTCATTCAACACCTTAACTGTCTCCACGAGAGCGATCGTAGTCCGTGTTTTGTCGCCCTGATTGGGCAAATAATTATGGCGTAACCACTCCGCTTTCCCCGTGCTCTCTGACCCCGGACGTGACGCGCACAAAGCTGTCTGTCATCACGGCACGAACTCATATTCGTAAATCATTCTAGTCATCCGTACGTGTTTGCGTGCCAAGTCCCAATATCCGTAACAAAGGGCAAACCGATTTCTGGCGACACGCACAAATGCGTTTTTTTGCTCACCGATGGCGCCATCGAAATTTCATACTTTGTACGGAGAAATTCATGGACGAGCTCCTTACGGTCGTAAAGGGCAGGGATCATGGCTGAGAGCTTCGAAGCACAGTGCTGTCTCAGCTTGTCCAGTAGGAATATTGATGGGATTTTTAGGCACCCTATGATCACAGCCATTTCGCAAAATGATAAAATGATATGATGATATGATAAAATTGGTTGCGTTAATGGCCACTTGTGAGATGCGCCACGCATCCGATTTCTATCCGGGGAGCGCAGTGGGAAAGGAGCTCCAGTAGTAATTGTCTTTTTTTATCGCCACGGCAACTCGTAAACTCTGAATCCGATTCTGCTGCAGCGATGTCCCAGTATTTATTTATTTATTTATTTTATTTATTTATCTATTGTACTCATGATTTTCAAATGAGGACATAGTGAGGTAGCATGTTTACAATAGAATAACCATGATTTCACATGACACAGAAGTATATATAGGTTAGGGGCCATAGGGGGGGGGGGTCGACGAAGCGGAGAGGAAACGCAAGCAGTGCACCGGCCAACACTGCAGCCGCCGGGGGAGGCAGCACGACTCGAAGCATTTGTCTCAATGCTTTCGCACCTCTGAGCAGTAGCCTAGAGAGCAGACTTAATTTGCAAGCTTAGTATTCGACCAGACTCAATAGTTAGGCGATCTCGTAACAGAGGACCCCAAAGTCCTGAACAGCATCCAATCTGCAGGTAAGGAAGACATGAGCCGCCGGGCGTATCACATTCTAGGAGTACACATCTCCTATTTCCACGTTTCCCAGACAAGAAAGAAAGAATTACAAGTTTGCTTCTCTACTATCTTTCGAGGAGAGTTGAGACAGCAAGCAAATGGTTAGAGAGTTCTTGGAAATCTTCTCCCAAACAGGAAGCCCTTTTTTGCACAAGTCCCAGGATCTATTTCATTCAAGCGGATGACGGCGACATGATCAAGGCCAGGTTCACATGACTTCGTGAGTGCGCTGCTCATTGAGGTTGTATCGGTGTTTGGTAAGAAGTAGAGTTGGATAAATACAGTTGCGCAAGAGAGCAGTGACCGATTGCATAACCTTGGCAGGTGATAAATGAGGTTGGCGGATCGAGGCGGTGAGTCGAGGCTGTCGTCTTTTTGAATGACCGGGTCATTGGGGCGAACCGCTGCAAACCGTCAGCATTTTCGAAATTTGCCATAGAAAACCTGAGTTTATTGAAGTAACCCCTTCAGCGACTTCCGTCAATGAAAGTCGATGTGAAACGTTATCCTGTGGGTGTTTTCGTCCTCAAACGTACTGCCTGACTTCCGCCAGTTTTTGCATCATAGTAATCGAACATTATCATTAAGTATGCGTAGCTAGCTGATTACCATGAGCTACGTCATGATTCTTCACATTGACCTTCAAGCAGAAGAAATGGCTCATAAAAATGCCATCAATGTCTAATTAACAGCTTTAATCTATTAACTTTCTGCGTTTTTGAGAAGCCACTTTTTCCGAAGAATTTTCCATAGAGAATAAAAAATTACAGTTGCCTCCTGTAGGTCTTAAGTCATTTCACTTGCAAATTTATGAGAAAGTGAATTTTAATTTTTGAGGAAGTGAATTTTATCATTTGAAACAATAAACAAATGGCTAACGAAAAAAACAGCAGAAACTATGATAACTCAGTGGTAAAAAAATCGGAGAAACGATATTCGGTTCTTACTCAAAAAATCGTTAAAAAAGCGGCAAAGTAATCGATTCCTAATTCTTTAATTAGTAGTACTTACCGCGTAGATGTTTGAATACTCGTAATTTGGTCCAGGTTTTGGGCACAGCAACGACACTCGATCGCCAATGTTCACCGGCATTACATGATCAGTGTTGCTCACATCGAAGCTAAACATCAAAATTACTATTAGCAATCCGAGAAAAAAGAGAATTGCAAGTTGAGAAATTTTGAGTCTAAGTTTCATCTTTCTAAATAGAAACCTGTGCAGGAATTTAAATAGTAAGGTAGGGAGGTAAAAGAAACTAAGGAAATAAAACAAAGCTCTTGTCAAAATAGCGTTAAGAATTCCACATTGAAATCAATGGGCGAAAAAAGGAAATTGAACAAAAACAGAAAATGAAAAGTAGCTCGGATAAACTAGAAAAACCAGTTAATAAAAAAAGTAAAAAATAAGATACTACAACTTTTGATTCTTTTGCGTACTGATGTTAGTTCGCAATACGAAGGTTACCACAAGGATGTTGAGTTATGGGCGAAACAGCTTGTCCCAGGGATGGGAATGGAACCCTCATCTCCGGCTTTCCGGGTAATCATGCTAACGATACGTGAGGATTACGAGCATCATTGCGAAGGAAGCGATTCAACTGAATTTAGCAGCAAAAGAATTTGAAGGTTCAAAACTGTAATATCTGCTGCAGCGTTCAGCCTCGCAGTTCACTACCAAAGTCGACTAACCAGCTCATCTCGTCGGACGTCTGAGTGGTGAGAAACCATGGAAAATATTTTATAGAGAGTTGGCGGGGTAGAATAAAACACAAATGCTTGGTAATTGTGATGTGAACAGGCAGTATAATATCAAGGCCGATCAGCACAAAGCTCAATTAAATGGATTGGTTTAGTAGCTTTTGACTACGATTCAAGTATTTTTTTTCAGCACTGAAAAAACAGCACCGTTATTTGAGGTTTTTCATTGTTTAATTAGAGCCGCTACCACTACTTTTTTATGGGCCACATTTGTTATTGTGAAAAAGAAGGGGAACAAAACGTAGAGGAGAAAAAACCGGAAACCGTAACCAGATTCTGGATAATATGCGTAATCGGCTACCAGAATTGGTTGGGTGAGAACTAGAACTTTTCCCACATGTTAGCCCATTTCCCAGACGAAATGTACATTCATTGGTACGATAACGGGATACATACATATCCGAGTACGACTGGACTGGAGAGGAGTCAATCGCCAGAGTGGGTTCCACTAGGAAGCCTGCAGACTGAGGGCAGCGAACTTGTAAGGGTTGTGGGTACATATGAGGGACATAGTGAACCAGAACTCCATACATCTACAGGGTTACAGTACGCCTGGCGGGTAGTCGGCTGATACTCCCCAGCTATTTCGGAAGACGAGAAGAGCATCGAGTTCAGACCACACACCACAAGTGACGACGGTCAGAAAAGGCAGAAAAAGGCTTTCTCTTGGCCATCGTCACGTGATGTGTGGTCTGCACCCGACACTGTTCTCGTCACAGTGTAGATCCGGTACTCATTGGCGGTCTAGATCTCCTGACGTTGAAGCCTATTCCCGCTCTTTCTGAGTTCAGCGTAAACTGTTGTTCTTTGAGCATGTGGCAAGTTCAACTTGTGCTTATTGAGCTGCTTCACGTAAGCTCTGGAAGGTCGGTCGAGGTTGAAAGAGCATGTTACTGGAGCTCCAATTCTTTATATCCAACACAAAGCGAATCAGTTTCCCTCGAGGGGGAGATCTAGCCAAAATCTTGACAAATAAGTTCGGAACATTTTTGACACGGAAAGTTTCAGAGGAAATACATGGTAAGGCTCTCAAGCATTTGGCCGAAACTGCCACATGAGTTAATTTATTTTCTTGTTGATTTCTGCGATTTTTCTTGGTTTATATAAAACCCACCATTTACTCACATATTTATGTATGTAATCACCTCCCTTAGCTAGATTTAGAACTACGTTCAACTCTAAAAGGTCCCAAGAGAAATCCGCAAATGCTCCCCTTCAGGAAAACCCATCCAGCTAGATGGCATCGGCTTCCCTTAGCGACTCACGTTGTAACAGAGGGTTCAAGTGATCTCGCGACCATTCACATATGTTTCCCAGACGGCTTTAATTACGCAGAGGGATGATCCCTCTCCACACATAGGGATCCGCGCATCTGTTCGGCTAAGAGCGAAGTGATACCCCGACCCTCAAGTGGACCTCTTTCGATTTCGGCGTGTCATTTCATTGTCGCCACGAAAAAACTCGCCGAAGTGGGTGCGATCGCCCGACGGCTGGATGTGATGTCAGCCCGAGCACAAACACTGTCAGCCGACGATACGGCTATTTTCAGCTGTAATTCTCGAGCTCATAGCTGGAAACCTATCTGGCTCTAACAGGACTATGAGCAGCTAGGAAAAAAACCTGGGAATTTGAGGTGGCGAGAAGTGGGGGGAGGATTGGGAGGTTGGGGCTATCTTGGAAGCCTAAAGCACTCGATATAATGGCTGTTAAGTAAGAGAATACGTAGCAAATTCCAAACAGAACATCAATCCGCTCCTAGTAAAGTCCCCACCCTTTCACATTCCCTTATCACCCCGGGTCATGATTTCAAGGATAGATCTAAAGGACGGCAGGAAATGCAAGGTGCCGTAATGCGATTAATCCAGATCGAAACTATCTTCATCATCGGTGAACTAGTCCTGGGTTGTCGAACCCTAATCCAATCTGTTTTAGGTCAGACTGACCTCGTATATTTTTTCATTCGGGCAACAGCAGCTTCACCATGCCCTAATTAGCTCGTCCCGTATCCATCGGAGTGATGCTAAAAAACAATCCCGAGAGAATTCGTGAAAATTAGGGCCACGCAATACTTGGAAACATCACCAAAAATGGTGACACTGATCTTTTTCATCTTCCCGCTTGAACTTTCCGTGGCGTTAACGGACCTCGAAAGGGAAGTAACCGAAGGGTTAGGCCAAGTAATGGGTGATGCTAGGGATGCTGGGGGCACTTCTTCCCAACTTCCTCCGAATATTTCTGGGTTTCCTACTCCAATTCTCCTCACAATTAGGACATACCTACTTTCCCGCCGGGTGACAATGGAATGTTTCTCGGGCCTACGGTAAAGGAGCCCTTGTTCCAACAGCGCTTGTTGTTGGTCCACCCATATTTGGAGTGTACTGATCGTATCTGTGGTTGATCGTCGGCAGAAATCACCGTCGCCCTCCCTTGGTGTGGTCAAGGCAGCAGCGCCGCTGACGCTGGGCTGCGCACCTTTGATTTACCGCCCTTTATGGCCGGATATCACCGACTGTCTCGTACGAGAACGCCTTTGTGCTCGAGTGCTGTGAGACGAATATGGAGACGACTGCCGACCTCAGAACATATGGCCCGAGTCGCAGGTGGTGGCTGCTGCTTACTATGTTGGAGGGTGGTAAATCACACATAGGCATGGACAGAGGGTCCATAGCTATGAGAACTTCGAAAAACGCAACCTATGCCCCATCACTTTGATAATGGTGGCAAGTAGGAGCTGGCAGAAACCGTTCGAATTAGCCCAAATGCGAGGAAATGCCTCCCAGACCAATATCCAATTTTTTTGGGAAATCTGCGAGCAACAGCTGATTGATAGGAAGTCTGACAAAATTGTCAGATTCAAGGAATTACAAAACTTATGGTGTTCAAGGAGCTGCTTCGACAACCGCCTTATCGCCGCCGTCCCCATCGGCGTTAGTCACCCATTGAGAAAGTTTGGCCAAAGCCGCCTCCCGCCTCTTCAGGGGCTAATACCACCCTCCATTGAGGGTCGCGCAACTTGATTCCAACTCGAGGGCCTACTTCCATCCTCCTTTATTCGACTCAAAACTATATAGAACTTCACCCCTCCCCGCTCCCCAGAAAAAAAAACACTGCGTCCTCCTGAGGGGAGATTCCTCGACAGGCTTACCATGGTGCCTACTCCTTTATCACTTGGTTTCTCTTCTGGTTTTAACCTTATCAGAAAGGGCCTGCCAAACACAGTTACACTAGTTAAGACCAGGCTGGGTTAGCTGACCAAGTCTTGAAAAAGGTTTAGCCGCACTGGTGGGGTTCCGAGGGAAAATTGAGAGTTGAGGAATCGGTATACCAGGAGTCAAAGAAACACATAAAGAACTTCTCCTTCGACGGCGGATTCCACGATTAAGTAGCTACATGCTATTATTTTGTGGTAGATTTTTTCACTCGATGACGACCATTTATCTGTTGTACTTCTATTTTTGAGAGGAATAACTACATCACTACCCTTCACTTTCTATGGCTTTTTACATCATTTCATACAACGGCTGCCGTAGGAACGATCCTATTAGCTCACTCGACCGGCTTTAGAGAACCGCAAGGCAATTAATTTACTAGCAATGTATTCTCAAAGAAAACCCGTTTGATTATAAGATGCAGTGACCGGTTTTTTAAGCCATTCACATCGGCAGCGAGAATCGCGACGGATTTTTACAACTACCAGGAAAAATTAAGCCATCATGTAGCCCACATATTCAGTAAGCTATGGTAACTTCACCATCGAAGCTGAGTTGGGGTGAAATGGTGCCCCGGTGGTGTAACTGGTAGCACAATTGCCCGGAAAGCAAGAGATCCGGGTACGAATCCCGCCTGGGGCGAAAGTTTTGCCCAC